TTTAGCAATGTGGTCTGAGAAATTCAGCTTATCATCAATCACAACTCCAAGGTTTCTAGCTGTTTTTGAAGGAGTTATGGTTGATGAGCCTAACTGGATGGTGACATTTTGATAAAGTGATGGGTTTGTTGAAACCACAAGCAGTTCTGTCTTAGTCTTATTATAATAAAATGCTTTTATTTTTTACATTTTATTTACAACAAATTTTTTGAATTTAGTTGCCGTGTTTCTGCACGTTGTTGCGTGAAGAACGCGTCCACAAAAGGAGTTCATTCAGAGCCGCGCAGACACGTTCATGCATTCGGGGCATTTTGTGCAGATAGCCTATATATGTAGAATATTAACGTTATGTTGTATAAATAATGAAGCGTATTCTATATGAGATAAATGATGAGTTAAATCCCATTGATTAAAAACTTGCTATCAAATACTTAATTCTGGTCATCCTCAGCGCGTGCAGCTCAAAACAAAAATGCAGAACATTAATAACTACTGTCATATACATAACGTTATAATAAGAGCACTAATATAAAAAAGTGAATTCTTAGAGTTTCGCTGATGTTTAATGCTATCTACCTTTTAATCAAAACATTATTTTTGTATCTGCGAGGTGTCCATTTCACATTTTCCCTGTGTGTTAACGTCAGTAATTATGGCTGACGAATGTCTGACTTGACTCTTGTTAATGTATTTTGCCCCCACCCCCCAAAGGGCCACTATCAGTCGACTATCGGCAAGATTCAAAAATTCCAATTCGACTATAAAAATCCTTAGTTGGGGACACCCCTAAATATTACCACTTTTAGAAACTTACGTTATGGTGTTCGCTTGGTTTGAGACTATGTCCCAAGAGGATGTCTGAGTCACAGATGAAAATGGCTTATTATTGTAATACAGTAAGTAAGTAATACAGGTTTGAAACAACAAAGAGTGAGTAAATGATGACAGAACTTTCATTTTTGGAAAAACGGGCCCTTTAAGAAGTAACTAATGAATTTACATTGATGCATGAATATGCAGCTTTAAATCAATTTAAATGTACTTACATGACAAAAGATGCAGCGACCTGTTCCTGGTGGCTCTTTATCTGCATCTGACACAAACCAAATGGAGAAAAAGAGGAAACATCTATGAATTTCAGTGAAATATTGCACATATCAATACAAATTAAAATGTATTTTAGTTTTGACACCTTTGAGAAGAGATGCAGGATGACTGCTAGGTTGATCACTTACATCAGTGGTGTCCTGGAGGACCAACATCCTGCAGAGTTTATCTCCAGCCTGTCCACACACCTGCCTGGCAGTTTGTGGTAACCCTGAAGACCTTGATCAGCTGCTTCAGCAGTACAGGATTGGGGCTGGAGCTTAACTCTGCAATCAGGACTAGATGGCAATCAATACTCAAAAGAGAGAACAAACATTATGTTAAAAATAAAAAATATATTTAATATATGGTATATGGTAAAATATCTGAGAATGGAAAAGGGAGAGAAAAGAAAAAATGTATCAGTCAAATAGCCTATTACATAGATTTGTATGAATAAACATGCAGATTAACTATATAGTCAAGATAAATCATAATTACATTAATAAATTAATCTCCGTGGTAACATTAATCTCTGAGGTAATCATCTTTTAAATTGTTGACTTTTTTTTAATTTGAATTAATTGACTGGAATTAATTGACGTCATTTTATTATTGTTGTTATGAAAGGATGCAATTATATGGCCGAGTTATAGATCTGGGCCTGGCTAGGTCGATGAATTCTCAGTAAATGTGCACACCTATGTGATGTATAATTTATATATAATTAAATATAATTACATATAATTTAGATTCTTCTTCTTCCTTTTTTATTTTTCTCTAAACTGTAGCCAACCTCCAGACCGTGCTGCCATATAAATGAACCCAAAGGCTCTTTTAAGAGCCATCCACATTGCATCTCAGGTGTGTACATACTACATAGTTGTTGCTATCATTTTACTTTTTTACACACATCGCTTGTCTTGAGGTGAAAAAATGATCTGTCTAGGTTAATCCACTTTTTTAAAAAAAATCTTTGTTTTGGTAATCTTTAATCAAAATCTAAAGATGTGTTTCTGCTCTGGAATGGCATTCTTTTCTGTTGTCTTTTTTTTCATCAGCATCATTCATATCTGCTGAAGCTTACCATGTAAACATGACCATAATATTGAGTTTTCTATTAGAACTTAAAACTACCTTCTATCATTTTACTAAACGGCCATCCCATCATAATACAGTGGTTTACAATCACCTGATCGTAGAGAACCTTGGCTCTCACCTCATCTTTACAGTGGTCATTTCTTTTGGACTGGCGCTGCTATGAATGCAGCCGAACTCAGGGTTCAGCCTCCTTAAGCTGCCATGTACGTAGTCATTACACAGCCTATCGAGTTCTAGCTACGATTCGACTATAAACTGTAAATGCTCAGCAGGCAAGTTATAATCAAAGCATGTTTATCTTTGCGGCTTCTGATGGTGGTTTCATTCTGTTCCCTCAAATCTATTGGCTTTGGTCTTTCTTGGCTTATTGTGGCCTTCATATCACACAGCCTATCTTGGCCTTTGCATTATACAGTTTATCGAGGCACTTCACATAACTCCGCTCATTGTGGTCATCAAGCTAGTCTCACTATTATTGTTTATGAAACTCTGCCTATCGTGGCCTTCATATTACACAGCCTGTCATGGCATTCTCATAAAATGGCCTAACGTGGCCCTTCACATAACTCTGCTCATTATGGTCATCTGGTAAGTCTTATTATTCATGAATCTCGGCCTATCACACCCTTTCAAATAACTGATCTATCATGGCTTTTATGTTACATGACAAGTGTTGTCTTTCTGTGTTAATTGGCCTAATGGCGAACAGTCTATGTTTATAAATATGAATATTTGTGCCTTCTTTCGTCATAAAGTTTAGTATGTTTCTCTTCGCTAGCTACTGGTGGTGGTTTAATTCGTTTATCTACTAAATCTTTGGCTTCAGACTTCACAAATACTTCCCTTCTCATAATTGGCCAATCATAGTCTTTCATCGCTTTATTCACATAATTGGATTATCGTGACCTTTACATAGCACGGCCTCTTGTGGACATCAGGTAAAATGGAATATTATCGTTTATATAACCTGACATATCGTGGCCCCTCACATAACTGGCCCTTCATGGCTTTTCATCGTTTATTCACAAAACCGGCATATCATGACCCTTCGTATATCACGGCCTATCGTGGCCATCAGGTAAGACTGATTATTGTTTTAGGTAATCTGGCCTTAGTGGCCCTTCACGTAATTGGCATGTCATGGCTTTTATTGTTTATTCTCATTATTGGCTTATCACGGCCTTTCGTAGCATGGCCTATCGTGGCCATTCGCATTGCACAAACCATCTCAGCCCTTCGCATAGCACGGCCTTTTGCATAGCATGGCCTATCACATAGCATGGCCTATCACAGCCTTTCGTATAGCATGGCCTATTGCTGCCTTTCGCATAACACATATCAGTTCCTTTCGCACACTATGGCCTATCACAGTCTTTCACATAACGTGGTCTATCTAAGCCTTTTGTTAACCATGGCCTTTCGCATAGCACAGACTGTTACAGCCTTTCGCATAGCATGGCCTTTTGCATAGCACTGACTATCAGTGACTTTTGCATACTATGGCCTCTCACAGTCTTTCACATAGCGTGGCCTATCACAGCCTTTCGTTAACCATGGCCTATCGCATAGCACCATCTATCACAGTCTTTCGCATAGCATCGCCTATCACAGCCTTTCATTTAGCATGGCCTTTCGCGGCCTTTCGAGTAACACGGACAATCACAGTCTTTCGCATAGCATGGCTATTTTCGAAAAAAAGTCTAACATTAGTTTTTAGGTACAGAAATGGAATAAAGTAATTAAATGTAAAACAGCATTGCATATTTGACTGTATAAATTAAAGAATAATCTTTATTAAAGTTACAAAAGCTATTCAATCAAGAGCAGTGAGTGATTTCTTTGTTGTTGCTGTTTGATTAATATTAAGAAAGTGCTGTCACTTTAAGACACTGTAAGTACATTCAGTCGGCTATGTCTGCTATAGGATACTTAGCAAGACGGACATTTTGACATAATTTTTGTGTGAATTTGTCCATTTAAACAATACTTCAGAGAGAGCTTAATATTTGCACGTGTTCTGAGGCGCGGGTTTGCATGATTCGGATGAGCGCATGCACAAATCTTCTCACTGCGCACGCGAGCTCGCGTCCTCTGGCTCTTAAATGGTTCAACTGGCAAAGCTTAAACGAGTTTTACTTAAACACAGATATCAACGTGTGCAGTTCAGGTCTCACCTTTGCGCGTGTGCTGTCAGCACCCGGGTGATGACAGAATATGACTGCTCATATTCCAACATACAGCATTCGCATTGAACAAGAGTGAATGGTTTGTTAAGAAAGTGCTGTCACTTTAATACACTGTAAGTACATTCAGTCGGCTATGTCTGCTATAGGATACTTAGCAAGACGGACATTTTGACATAATTTTTGTGTGAATTTGTCCATTTAAACAATACTTCAGAGAGAGCTTAATATTTGCACGTGTTCTGAGGCGCGGGTTTGCATGATTCGGATGAGCGCATGCACAAATCTTCTCACTGCGCACGCGAGCTCGCGTCCTCTGGCTCTTAAATGGTTCAACTGGCAAAGCTTAAACGAGTTTTACTTAAACACAGATATCAACGTGTGCAGTTCAGGTCTCACCTTTGCGCGTGCGCTGTCAGCACCCGGGTGATGACAGAATATGACTGCTCATATTCCAACATACGGCATTCGCATTGAACAAGAGTGAATGGTTTGTCCACTTTTTTTTTTCTTCATCGCTGTTGTTGTAATGTATTGGGAAGCCAGAATGCGCATCCATCAACAGAAACATACATTAGCCAAACCCTGTTTGTTTAATATGTTATTTACTGTATAGCAAACCATATTACAGATGAGATGTCAGATTTAAGTTGAACCGCGGTCCTATTGCGTGCCGAACCGTGTGTGGAGAACCATACGGTTCGTTTTTATTCTGCGAACTGTTCCACCCTTAGCTCAGACTATCTCAGCCTTTCGTATAACATGGCCTATTGCGGCCTTTCGCATAGCACAGACTATTACAGTCTTTCGCATAGCATCGCCTATCACAGCCATTCGCATAGCATGGCCTTTCGCGGCCTTTCGTTTAGCATGGACTATTGCGGCTTTCACATAGCACAGGCTATCAGAGCCTTTCGCATACTATGGTCTATTGCGGCCTTTTGCATAGCATAGACAATCACAGCCATTCGCATAGCATGGCCTTTCGCGGCCTTTCGTTTAGCATGGACTATTGCGGCTTTCACATAGCACAGGCTATCAGAGCCTTTCGCATACTATGGTCTATTGCGGCCTTTTGCATAGCATAGACAATCACAGCCTTTCGCATAGCATGGCCTTTCACGGCTTTTTGCATAGCATGGCCTACCACAGCCTTTCACATAGCACCGCCTATCGCGGCCTTTCGCATGGCACATTTATCACATGGCCTATCCGTGCCTGTCACATCACATGGCCTATCGGGGCTATCAGGTAGACAGACTATTGTTGATTTTATATAAGCTGGCCTTTAGTGGCCCTTTTCTTAATTGGCCTGTTATGGCTTTCCGTTGGTTATTCACATAATTAGCTTATCGTGTCCCTTCGCGCTGCATGGACTATCGAGGCCTTTGCATAGCACGGCCTATCGAGGCCATCTGGTAAAACTGAATATTATCATTTATGTAACCTGGCCTGTAACCTGAAATGTGTTTTCATCATTTTATTCACAAAACTGGCATATCTTATCCTCTTGCAAGGGTTTTCATTAAACAATGCTTTTAAGGGTTCAATAGCTAGCTAAAAAAATTGTTCCACAAGGTTTATTTATCAATCTTCATTCTGTGTCCCATGCTTTCTTAGTATTTCTTTAATTATGTGTTATGTGATCTGGTTTATTTTGGGGGTTCACTCATTGGGTTCCAATGGTTAGATGGATTTTTGTCTGCAGAGTTTTCAAGTATTTGCGGGAGTCAAGCCCAAAATTATTTATATCCATTTCATTACTGGCATTTACACTCTTCGTTTTTTTAACCCGGCCTACTGTGGTTTCTACGTAACATGATCTACGTGGTCTATCTGCGTTAATCGGCCTAACGTGTTAATTGGCCTAATGAGGCCTCTCATTAGCCCGTCAGGGCCTCTACAATACACAGCCCGTCGAGGCCTTCACTTTACACGGCCTTTTGAGGCTTTCACATTACACGGCCTTTTGAGGCTTTCACATTACACGGCCTTTTGAGGTTTTCACATTACACAGCCTATTGTGGCCTTTGC